TTCTAATCCAATGCCTTTACAGCTCCTGTGTGTTCTCTTTTTCATATTTCACAGGAGCTAAATTCTTTCCTTTCTGTCATCTATAGGAATTCTTTTTAAAGAGAGAACTAGAATTGTAGGTTTCATATATGTTTTATGACTCTCTTCTCCATAGCAACATTTAAATTTCCTCTGATGGGTGTACTTTGCATGCAGAGCACAATCTCTCCTTGACTAAAACGCTGTAGTTACTGAAAAAATATATGGTAGCACAGTAAAACAATTGTGTGAACAATGAAGGATTTGGTGTTAAATCCCTTGAAAAATCAAGTGCATTTCCTTAGAGATGTTGGCCTGGTAAGCTGCAGGTTAATGCCACTCTTTTAATATTTATAGTGAAATCTTAATGTCAGGAGATCCCAGTAGGAGGCTGAATTTTATTTCTTCCTCCATGTGTGCATATAATCTTCTATGATGCCTGCAGTACTTAGATGGGGGGAATAAGTGCATAGATTGCAACAGAAAAATTATCAAAATCATAATATTTAAATGCTGTATCTTACAGCAACTGAGTAAGTAGATCTTAAAGCAGGAAGTTTACATTTTCTGCTCAAAACTAAGAATTGGAATATTCTTTCTATTCTTTCTCAAGTTTTTGCTATTTATGGGAAAAGCTGAAAGAAATCTGCTAGCAATGAATGAAATGCTTTGCATTTTCTCCATGTTTGCCACAGCACTTCATATCTTTCCTGAAAATCTATTTTTGAAAAGTAAAAGTTCTAAGCCATAAATCCCATTTCACATAAGGAGTCAGTATGTGACACGAATGGGATGAACATGAACATTAAAAACACCATAAATTTAGCAATGTATTAAGGTTAAATTTAGTGCAGCTCAGAAAGTATTTATAGAAATGTCTGTATTATCAAAACCATATCCAGACTTGCTGATTATTTACTGACATGTTTGCAGTTACTCTCTATTGATTTGTATTGTATCTGATTTTGGAACAATCAAGTCAGTGGGGCTGTTTTTCTGTCACTGGTGACTTTTAAAAGCTTGGCAGGAGAAGAAGACTGTGGAAATGAGGTCAGTGAATGTAAAATAAAAGTTTTTCTTTATTTTTCAAAATTTTAACATAAATGAATTGCAATATACTTTTTGCAATATACTTTTTTGTAACAATAATTCCATGAAATCCTTAGGAAAATAGAAATAGAAAGTTAGTATCATAATGATATATGTTATTTTTGTTTCATTAGTAATAGAAGTCGTGGGTTTTGATATAGTAAGAAACTACTGAGTATAATTTACTCTTGCAGATTTTTTTGCTATTCTTCAAACAAACATAAGGTTGAATTCTGATCCAACAGAACAATAAGTCTATAATTCTACTGTGTTTTCATTTAAAACTTCTAGATTTGGTTTCTTGGAAATCAAGGACATGCAGCTACATAATGTTTTGAATAAATTGTTAAAATAACTCTAATATATATTCATGTTTTTCTTCTCAATGATAATGAAATAATTTACAAAATCAGTCTTTGCTAACTTGTTTTGATAAGGGTGAAAGGACATACACTTCTATGGAGTACTTATCAGAACTACTCCTCCTGCTCTAAAGACAGTGCTTCAGATCTCTGGGGTTTTGTTTGGTTCAATCATATTGGTCTCACAGGTATCTGATCCAAAAAAAAGTGCAAAGTCCTTGATGGTGGATCCCTTTGCCTGTTGTTGTTTTTTTTTACCATGTTAGTAGTGTCTAATTTTTCTCTTTCTGGTAATACCAAACACATTTCCATGAAGGGCTCAAAACAATACTGGATTATTTGCAAATGTGAAAAGCATGACCGTGTGTGCAACACCAGTATTGAAAAACCCCCTGCAGTTATTTATTCTGTGTTAAATTGTGTGACGGGACCCCAAGTTGACCTGAATTTAGACATGGAATTCTCAACGTGTCGTACTGGCATTAAACATATTGTGAACCTCAGGGGGCCTCCAGTTTCTGAGAATTTTTTTTTTTTTGCAATACAAAATAGAATAAGAAAATATATTTAGTAAAGAATTTTTTTCCTCTGGTTAAAATGAGTTTGGAAACAAATCCCATTACTCTTTTGTGTTCTTGCAATGCTCCATGTTTTAGTCTTTCTCATTAATCTAAGAAATTTTTTTAGGTTGCAGCAAAATCTGCATAGTTCCATCAGGATCCTTAGCATGCTTTTTAAAATCAGAAAATTAGAAAATTCTCTTAGGTTCCCCCTGGTGCTTACAGGTTTGCAGGCTCCTGTCCCTGCTGTAGCTGGCAGTAGAGCAAAAGTTTCTTCCTGAGCATCTTTGTGGAGCAAGGTCCAATTTAATTCAGACAGCTCCTCCTGACCCACAGCTGGATGAACCAGGAGCCAGCAAATGGCCAGGTGTCCTCCCTGCACTGCAGCCACAGGAATTTTAACAAAACCTGCTTTACCCAGATGGCAAACTAGGAGCAAGTAAAACAGATCTGTGCCGTGTATGGACAAGCACCTGAGGGAGGAAGAGACACTAATGCAAAATAAATAGGAACAGGAGTGTGTGGCTGGAGCTGAATAAAAGCACCAAAAGGGCACAGTTCACAGGGCTGCAGGTGGAATAGAAATACCTGCAGTGCTGGAGGGCCAGGGAAAATCACAGAGTTTGCTGCAAAGCTGCCTCTTGGCAGGGCAGGAAGCAAAGCACAGCAATCAGAGGCACCTCTGGCTTTCACACACAGACACACAGCTCCCACACTGCTCAATAAAGGGTCAGACCAGGGGACTATTACTGTTATTGCCAGGAAAATTATTTGTTTCCTATGGCCTCCCAGAAGGGGTAATGTCAGACAAAACTCCACAGATTATTTCAAAGGAATTTGTAGCAAATATTAAACTGAATTGCTGACATATAGGAACTTGTAGCAGCCAAGTCTCAAATCAGCAATAGGAGGAAAATTTATCTGGTAGGAGCAAAGACGTTTTGTTGTTGTTGTTTGTTTTTTTATTGATGAAAGACTTTGAACCTGGATTTTTAAGTTTAGGTGAAATATGTAGAGAATTCTAGCCCCAGATAAAGCATGATGCTCTCGTCTGCTCACTTTATTGCTCTTAATCAGGGTTGTGATCACTAATATTTCAGAGAATGGAAATACTATTGATTTTATAAAAGGTTATAAATTAGATTGACTAACTGAATTCAGCAACAGATAATAAAGAACTTCAGTTTGTAAATGCTTATTAATGTGTTCATGAAAATAGTCTGAGTAAAAGCAATAGGGGTCACTTTGTATTCAAAAGTGTGAAGCATCTAGTTTGTGTGATAGTTATTAATAGGAAATTTTCATTTCAGTCCATCTGACTGTAACTCCCTCACTTGGCAAAACTTGACCAAACTACATGTACCTGTCTGTATTTGGCAAATTAAAAAAAAATGAAAATCATATTGCAACCTCTTGTTTAAATGTAAAAGAGAAAAAGTTTCTACTTCTCAAAGTCAAAGTAATTAACCAAGTCAAAGACTAATAAGTAGTTAAACTTTCAGAAAGGCTTTAAACTTCTCTAACCTGTTATACAGGATTTATGTCATGTATTTACAATTCACAGATAATCTGCTATTTATGCAGCAACCCTTTTATAGTGTTCAATATAGTAATTTGTATTTTAAAAAAGAATTTTTTTAAAGATGTATAGACCATACTTTAATGTGATCATGGTTTTCAATATTGGATCATTGCAGTTTTAGGATGAGAGAATTTTATTTTCAGTAATTCTTTCTGTCATGAGTTTTGTTACATTTTATATTGTGAAAACAGAGAAATTGTGGGTGCTTGCTCCCAGTATTTGTGAATTAGAGATCATGTGACAGTTCTCTTTCATGACATATACCAGGTGGATATTAGCTTTTAACAGAGGATTGTGTTCAAATTTGGTGGGTTTTTTTCTCTATTTGTTTTCATTCAGAGGAAGGGAAAAAGGTCAGTCAGGAGCTCAGTAAAGATCTTGAAGGTCTTTTTGCATTGGCATCGATTCACCTGCCTGTTTCTGTGGTCATGTGATGCCTTTAAAGAAAAAATTTGAGTTGGACAGAATTTTCTGAGGAGATGGACTTAACCAAAGGCTAAAGTGTTGTGTGAGTGAATTTCTTCACAAGTATGGAGTAAGAGGAGAAGAATTCAGAAAAAGGGAAAACTGTGTTGTGCCTGTAACAGTTTGGTTTTCTGACTTCCTCCACTACAATGGGTTTTCTTTTTTCTGAAGTGAAAACAGAACCCATCTTTCAACTCTTGATCAATAAGGTCTTTTATACGTGATGGAGTCTGCTGCCTGCTCCCAATGCCTTTATACATGAGTTGTTGCTTACAGTAAATACTGTGCACACAACCAGGTATGGCCACTCTTGTCCAAAAACATCTGTGTGGTACAAATATGCATATATGCATAAACACGTGCATTTGGTTTGCATATATGCACATATAATCATACTTGTGTTTACAGCACAGAAATGTATTGTTCTATGCATATATTATTGTATATTATGCATGTATTGTAATCTGTTTGCTAACTTTCTATTCCCATTTTGTTTTTCTTTCCTCTGTCATGGAGGATACAACCTTCTACTTTAATATGATAATCTCCTCTTAATGTCAGTTTCATTTAAAACTAAAACTGTCTTTATGTTGAATTGTATTTGTGTACAGGAAGATGGAACTACTTCACAGTTCAGGTGTGATACCATATATGATGAGAAAACAATCCCTTTCTTGTTGTGGTAGTATTTAACAAATTTCATGGTGCTTTTGTGATACCTTGTAGAGAAGCTGTCAAATCATGAAGTCAGTTAATAAGCCCTCAATAAATGGAAACAATTGGCAATGTAAATCTAGTTCCTCTAGTTTCGCTTCTTTACACTTTGCTTTATATTATGGTTATGCTTTTATTAATACAGCAGCTAAAGTAGCTGTTCGAATTAATTTAATGTATAATTGCTTGTTCTGTTTTGTTGTTTTCCAGCTCCCTCAGGCACAAAAGGTAAAATATTTTAATCAAATCCTAGTCATTCCAAGTAGTCACCAGTGCTTCATGTTTCCATGGTGGTGTGAGTGTGGTACAGGTGGTGATCAGTGAAACATTGGCTGTCATGGGGCTCTGAGCTGGGCCCCAGGAAGGTGCCTGGCTTTGAGCCCAGCTGAGGAACCTGCTGAGAGCAGCTCTTCAAACACGTCAGCTATTTTAACATGCCAGCCATCCAGTAGCCTACAACTTGGAAACAACAGGGAGGCTTTTTATCAACAATTTGAAACAATAGTAGGGATTAAAAAAAACCAAACAGCCCACTCTATTACTCCACGTGAAACATTTCTGGATTTGTTGTAGAGACTGCAGGACCCATGGCATAGCTGGTACCCTTTCACTGCTCCCCACTGTATCTACCAACACACCCCTGAACACATCCAGCATTTGACTTCTCTAACAGGTTGCATACTTTTCATACAGTGTGCTCTTGCCTTTAAACCACTTCTGCATCAATAGGGTGTTACCAGAGCCAGCACCACTCGGGACAGCACAGTCAGTGTGGCAAAGTTAAGAATTGCTTGATGCCTGTTGCATTGTCCTGATGTATTTCACAAATATAATCAAGGCTTCCAGAAACTAGAAAATCTAGCTGGTGTTTTTTCTTGCTAGAAAATCTAGCTTTTGGTAAAAAAGTATTAAAATGATAAAAAGGAATACAATATGCTGGGCAATTGCAACACTCACTTGTCCAAGTCATTCTTACTGTTCTGGGTAAAGCACCTTCAATAAGAAATGGCGCAGCAATTAGTCAGTTTGACATCTCTGCTATTAACAGTCATGGATGATGATAAAAGTTCAGTTTTTAATGAAAGCTATAAGTAAAGTGATCTTTCACTTTATAGCTTTTGAAGAATGGTGAGGGCATCCACAGAACTTAGAACTTTCCTAATGTATCTCAGCCCCTTGTTTAAAAAGCAAGAAATAAGAGGATGGGAGGCTTTACTTTTATTTTACTACATGTATTTGAAATTTCCTTGCTCAGAGAGCTCAGAAAATTCTATTTCAAACCTGCAGGTAAATAAGCTATTTTATGACACTGGGCTATGTCCATAGTTTGTTCATGCTTTGATAGTTGCAGAACATGGTAACAAAAGATGTTGGTTTTGTGTTTTTATTTTTTGTTTGGTTTTTTGTTGTTGTTGTTGTTTGTTTGTTTGTTTGTTTTCTTGAAATAGAAGTTTTCAAGAAATATTTTGTGTACAGCTTTCTGGAAAAGTAGGACCAAAAGAGTGGCTAGACTAGCTAACTTTGGCTTTTTCATTTTCATCTGCTTGTCTAAATGTTTGCACCAAATGCTTCTCTTAACAGTTTGCAGAAAGGAGAGAGAGTCAGACTGTGATATGGTGGTGCAGAAGGTACAGCCAGGCTGTTTGTCAGCTTGTGCCATGTGATGCTGCATCACCTGTTCTGATGGCCACAATTCTGAGCTATTAAATAATATTCTGGTACAAATTACTCAAGTTTGTGGTTAGTGAACACAATTTTCATAAATGGTCAAAATTACCCATTTTCAGTGCTTTTACCTCTAGATCAAACAAATGTAGAACTAAAGCCACATATTTTTGTATGCACTCATGGCTGACTACAGTCTAGTTGACTGTGTGTTACTTTTGTGCAGAGAGAGAGGAGAGGGGTGGGAAGGAAGGAATAGGATGGGGAGGGGGGGACAGGTACAAGTAATCCTCCAGAGCTTTTGATAACTTCAGGCAAGAGATATGCCTTTTAATAAGCGTGGCCTGGCAGCTTATCAACAAACCAAGAAAATCTCTCTTGCTCTCTGCAAGGTGAAGGGAAGCAGCACAGGGCTGGTGCATGCCTTTATGAATAACTTAGTCACTGTTTGGCCATATGGTGTCTGAACTTGTACTGTATTTTTGTTGGAATCTGTGTATCATCTTGCAAATGTTTTCTCTATAAACATTTCAAACAGTCATGTCGCTCTAAACATGTTCACTTTAATCTTTGAGTGATCTGAAAGAAAAATGTGGCATTTCAAGTTTACCTTTACTATTTCAGATCTATTATAAATAGTTCACCATCTTGATGAAATGTGTTTTCTCTTATATGTGGGACACTTTGGCTTCAGAATTTTCAGTGTTTAGTCAGTGTTCTATGGTGATTAGCTATTGATTTTGAAGACTTGTAGCTTTTCAACTGTCTACAGCAGTTAAATTACAATTAAACCTGCTACTCTTATGCTATCTGCTCTTAGCCAAACTGGTGCAAACTCAGAATTGGAGAGCAGGTGAAAGGAATAATGATGATTTTAAGGTGGATATGTCTGTTGCACCATATTCGTCTTGAAAAGATCTTTGTGATATATCCTATACATAAAATAGAAATGCCACAAAAACAAATCAAACCAACCACCCACCCAACCAGCCAAAAAATCGCCTACTAAAAACTCACCAGAGTTTCAGGCAACAGAGACCTTGATTTAGTATGGTTATGTTACTTTCAGAACAAAATATGTATAGGAAGAGTTAATGTATCTAAAAGGAAGAACTGCTACCCGACAAATGAAACAAATTTGTATGTATTTTACTTGTCCTCTATGTTTCTTTAATGCATGTTTTTAGGTAGCTATCCCGCAGGGCTGTGAAAATAGCAGTAAGTTAAAATAATAACTCGAATTTACCACTTTTCAAATTTTTTCATTTTGATTTCCAAAGTGACCTTTATCTTTGAAACAGTTATGTTAAACAGCTTTTTGTATGCACTGAAGAGCAAAAGCCAATTTTCCTTAATAGTTCAAAAAGGTGTTTTGTTTCCTAGTAGGAAAGCTTTGCTTGCTTTCTTGAGCAAACACAGCAGGATTCAAAAGCTTTTGCCCTACTCCTGCTGTGATGTTTTGTTCTACTTAGCTTGAGTGAAAAGGTAGAAGTGAATAAATTAGGCACACAAATCAGAAGCAGAGAGTTCTGTTTAGGAACATTTAAGATTTTTTTTTTAGTGATTCTCTTATGAATGGAATCGTATTTTCTCCATATAGAAACGTTTTAATGATATTTATTGCCTAAAAGTTCCTGACAACTTTCTTCTCTCTTTCTGTGTTATCCTTAACTTCTATAAGTAGTGCTCTGCCCTCCTCATATCTTGATGCTATCATCTTTCAGCCTTTTGGGAGGATCATTTATCAGTCCCTGCATCGTTTACCTTATACTTTGAAGAGCTGAATTAACGTCACTGGGAATAGAAAATAGAAAATTTGGAAAGCTGTGGTTTCATTGAAGTGCATGACTAGTGATTTTAGCACTTTTGTAAAATTAGAACATTTAAGTGGAATCTAATGGAGTATAAAATAATCATAAAGTAAGCAATAAGCAATTTGGTTTAGCATTCCTTTGGATCTGTTTCCTCCTCGTGGGATGCTATTGTCTTTGTTTTGTAATTTATATTTGGTTTCTATTCAGAAAACCACTTAAATTTTCACTTGCATATTAATTGCAATCTTTTTTTTCCCAAATTTCTCACATTCCTCAACAAGCAAAAGGATTTTTAGTAACATTTTTGAATCAGCAATTTATAAACTCCAAGTAACTATTTTACAATATAAGGGATTTTTTTTCATTTACTCTGTGTCCAACACAGTAATATTTCTTTAATGTAAGACACTCACACAGGTTCCTATATTGTCCCAGACCATAACTTGAATCTATGCCAAAATAATAGCTATTCCTTCTTCTTTTAGTCCATATAAAACACAAATTCCAATTCTCTGAGGCTTCCAGCCTGCCTCAGGACTCTGATCAGCAGCACATAAAGGCACAGAAGGCAACACATTGTGGAGCAAATCTGTACAGAGTGGGCAAAGGATGAAGAGGAGTTGGGTTGGGCAGGTGTGTCAGAAATTCTGGACAACCCACTATAACTCTTCTTGGCTATACACTCCCAAGGAAGATATTTCAGAGATGTTTCTCAAATTCCTCTTTCTGTAATGGGAACACCCCAGAAAATGTTTCTATTCTTTCCTGTATATGTGTGTCAGGTTGAATTCTGGAGCCTGCCTAACTCTTTGCCCCGAGAAGTTGATGCTAGTGCTGGGTGTGAGGCTAAACTCTAAGTGGCTTAACTCTAAGAGGATGATTTTTATTTGTTTTTTGGGAAGATCTGCTTGGGGTTGTTTTGAGGGGGATAACTGTGTACAGTGAGGAATTAAAGGGAAAACTGTTGTAGTTTAATGTATTTCTAAAGGGAATTTTTCCTCCAGTTATAAAACTATTGTCACTAGGCATTAGAGATCTGTACCTTTTTCAGAGAGCAAGTTCTGTTTCTTTATTCTAAACAGGCAAGAGATATTTAGCCTGGGAATGCATTTCTCCTCAGTCTTGAGATTTATTTTCTTTCAAAGGTTTGTTATTTTTTGCTAAGCATTTTTTCAAATTCAGTGTCCATAGCCCTTGGGCAGTTGCCCACCTAAAACTGTTACCACCATGTATTTCCAATAGGAGAACGTTCTGGGTCAAATCACTAATGCTGTCTCCTACATTCATCATTTTAGACTAGATAGTAACTACATTGTGATGAGCAATGACTCAGTAAAAAACGTAAATACCAGTCCCTGCTCATGCAGTTATTTACTGACTCCACTTATGGAAGTAGTCAACAACCTGTTCATCTGCCAAATAAAAAAATCAAAAAGGCTGGATTAACAGTTGCAATTCTATAGAAATGATCCCAGCAGCCAACTCTAGTTGGTACTTGTAGATAACAAAATTACAAGGCAATCACTCTTGGCTGCTTCCATAGTTTTGAGAGTTAATGAGCAGTTCTTTCATAAATTCCCAGGAGTTCAGACTGTGGGGTTTTTTTTTCTCCATGTAAAGAATTTCAAACACCCTAAAACTCTACTGACAGTCCCTTGGCTTTATCCTATCCATTGAATTGTTTTTAGTAGTATCTTGAGAATGAGCAGACTCGTAAATTAATACTGCCCTGATACTTGACAAAAACACGATGTCAGAGAAAACTACCCAGGGCAATCATATAGAATCTCTAAGTGCTCCAAATTGTCACCTTGTAATCAGCAGAATGCTTTTCCACTTCCTGGGCTCCTCTCCACACAAATCATGTCAGTGCTTGACTCTACTGCTCTGGCCAAGGAGCGGAAATTCCGACATTGGTTTGGCTGCATTTGAGTTTCAAGTGCAATCTTTGAACCCACTATGTTTTGCCAAGTTTTTGGGATTTTTTTCTTGTTTGTTTAATAACTTACTATTCCTTGATAGATGAAGGATTATATTAGAATTATCTCTTCTTGCTAACAAGGAAAACAAAACAAAAGGAACTATGATCATAAGTTCATTCCACCTCACATCCCTAGTGATTCCTTATCAGACATAAACCTTCTTGACTCTAAACCCCATTTGTGTTCTTGTCTGATGTCTGCAAACATTCCTTCTCACCAAGAGACAGTGCCATGCCTCAGGAAATATGCTTGTTTAAGAAACTTAAAATCCTCCTGAAGAAGACTGGGAGATGCAGGACACGTACTTTTCTAGATTATATTTGTCTGATTTGTGAAAGTGGAATATGCTTCGTGAGGTGTCTTTATTATAACGTAGGAATTGTTTTCTGAGAATGTGGGGAGCCAATTGCTATTGCTTCATTATAAAAAAACCTTTGTAAACACAAACAAAGAAAAAAAAATTGTGAAAGTTCTAAAGAAAACAAAAAAGGACTAGAAATTCTACCTGGTTGCAGAAAACAAGATAGAGATGTAAGAGTGGTAGGAGAATGTCACAGTTGCAATTGGCCATGACTGCTCAGCAAGATCATCCCTATTGCTGCATCCACCTGGCTGAACACAGGTACAGCAGAATTTGTGTTCTACAGCATCTCCACTTGAGATCATAGCTGTCTGTGTCACACTTTCAAATGCTGGATAAACCCCTTCAGCTTTAATATCTGTCCCTGGGGACAGAAAGGGTTGAGCAGTAACTCTCCACCTGCTGCTTGAGTTGTCTTTCACACGCTGCTGGTGAAGATGGACAGGCACAGAGCAGTGCTGGTCTGGAGCACCCCAGTCAGTCTCAGGGCAGAGGTTCAGGCTGAACAGGGAGCAGACAGTCTGAGCACTCTCACTGTCCTGTGGCCAGGGGTAAACATCCTGCATGCTTCTCTTCAATGGGACTAAGGTCACGAGATCTGTTTCCTCCCTAAACTTAAAAAATGCGTTGAAACCTGATGTGCAGAATCAACTAATGCTTCATGGCACCTCTTTGTCCAGCAAACTGAAAGCAGCTGGAGCAAAGGTGCTCCTGGGATCCTTGCTGGCTGTCATCCTGTGAGCTCGGGGTCTGGACCAGAACAAAACACATGCAGCTCATGACCTCTTGCTCTTGGCTGGGGGAACGCAGCCCGAGGCAGCTTTGGCAGAGCTGGCAGTGGGAGGGATGTGGAGCAGAGCTCTTTGCTGCTGCTCTTGCTGCTTCCACAACCGTGTCAGCCCCTGCTCTCCCCTCTCCAGGCTGCAGGAAGAGACAGGATGGGGCATCTTTCCTGCCCGGGAGGGGCTGGCATGGGCAGGGCTGGGCTGGTTCAGACAGGGACAGGCTGGGCTGGGCTGGGCTGGGCTGGGCTGCAGGTCCAAAACATCGGTGTCATTTGGGTAAACTGCCTTATCGCCTTTAAAATGGAAATAATTTAATTGAAAACTGCAATCACATGCTTGTAATTGTCCCTTAGTTCTCAGAGATAGTATTTCTTTTTTGAATATAGCTTGCTGATGATCAGGGGTTGGTGTTGATGACAACTGTTGCCATGCCAGTATTTAGTAAGCAAAATGAGACTGTAAGTACTCAGATTATTTCTGTCATGTGATAATGCTGTGACTGATGTGAAGTTGCTTTCAGAGACCTAATAAGATGTTAGCCAACTCTATTTTTTTTTATTTTCTTATTATTATTTTGTCTGCAGTTAGTGTCCCTTTATTAACATAAAAATGTGGAAAAATAATCCCAAATACTTATACTCCAGAAACCATGGTAAAATAACGAAGCCCTATGTCTAAGAGAAAATCTCAGACGACACTAGGCTTTACAGCTTTCTTACTTCTGCATAACTTTTTTGTAGCAAATATTCTACGTAATTTTTCTCTTTGCTCGATATAACTCAGAATTTAAATTTTTTATATATATCTATTTATCTTTAGTAATTCAACAGATTATTAAAGAAACTCAAGTGTACTTTCCCCTTAATGCTTTGTCTTTCTCTTTTGTTTATCAAATGGCAGGAGAAATTGGGAAAGACAGGAGTAATATATTTTTAACAGTAGTTTTTAATTTAAAACCTATTTGCATGTGAAAGATTTCAGTAGAGGGACTCACCAGATAACAAAACCTTGCATGCCTTTTCTATGTAAATTGTAAATAAAGCAGAAAGGAGCAATATCATTGATTTAATTACTGCTTGATCAGCAAAGTTGTACTAGTGACTGCCTTCCCCACTTTTTAAATCGTTTGTCAGTTATCTATTCAATTCTGCAGTGTAGCTACAAGGTGAAATATGTGGTGAGAATGTTTACTTTTATTGTGGTTCTGAGTGCATCTTTTATTCTTCTTTTCAGAGGTCTAAAGGGATTCTCCTGGGAGTAGTTGGCACAGATGTTCCAGTTAAAGAGCTTTTAAAAACTATTCCAAAATACAAGGTAATACACAAATGGTGTATATATAATTTATATTCAGTGTAATACCTAAAATATAACATAATTAATTTAATTGTTTATACTTACATAGCTCCATTTTTCACCCGTTTTCCTCAGGAATTTTACCTCTGTAGTGTCTGAGATCAAGTGCTATTTTTTAAACCTAAGTTAAAATATGGCCTGATCTTCACAGTTTTGCGGATCAGCATGATCTAGAGGGTAATATTAAATCCTGTCCATATTAAAACCAATTTAATTATAAAATCAATGAAGTTATGAAACTATGAAATATAGCCGTAATATGAGTCAAAGTAACCAAAAAATTCATGTTGAAAAATTGCATAACTTTTAATGAAAACCTATCCTTAACATGGCTTTAGGTTTCTGTCTGTGTGTAATTCTTCCTGTCCCAATTCTGTGTCTCCTGGAATTAAAGAAAGTGGCACATTCCAGCAACTTGAACAAGGTCCTGTTTAACCAGACTAGTGCCTCCTTCTCTCCTACCCAGTATTTGCTGGATATTTTCCTCCACTTAGTTCTCCCAAGTCAGTGACAACTCTACAATAAAATTATTTTACATTAATTATCATAAACATTTTCAAAATATGAACCACTATATCTCTTGTGAAATGTGTTTCAGTCAGTAAAAATAGACTTCAGGCAAACGCAAAATGTAATTACTTTTCATTTAAATTTGATGCAGTACATTAGTATTTCACTACTCCATGTCTGAAATGTTTTATTATAGTACTCTTCTATTCCCAAATAAAAATTAAATTTATATTTTCTAGTTAATTCCTAGTTTATTTTTCTTTTTTTTTTTTTTTTGCATGACTAACAAGCATGTAACACTATATTGTAGACAGCCTTTGCTAAAGAGGCCAGCCACTGGAATAGCTGCATTTTTACAGCACCTGTACTGAGCAGAAATTTGTACATCATACAAATTGTCTCTTAATTGTCTGCCATGTTCTCATTTAGTGATTTCTATGAGGGTGGAAGAAGAAACTAACTTGTGAGTGCCTTCCAATCTTCTAACATAAAAATTCCTCCTATCACTTCTAATTCTAATTTGAATACATTAGGATTTACCAAATTATTTTCTGGATCAATATACGGTAACTTGAAAGTTTAAATTTAACAAGAATTTGATAAAAATGGTGCATTAAAAAGAGTGGCAGTGATATTGATAAGGTGAATTGGAGTAAACTCCTGTGGCCTGGATCCCACTAGGACAGGGGCTGTGCAGCCCAGCACAGAAAGGCTGTCCCAGGTGGAAAAATTTGCAGGCTGTGGAAGAGGCAGCAGGTGACTCCACACTGATCTCAGAACACAGTGACAGAGACATTGCTGCTCAGAATAAATAACAGGGAACTCTCTCAGTGCACAGACCACCAAAGTTTGCTAACAGCAGCTTATGCTCTACTTCTGTGCATGCAGAAATGCTGAATCAGTAGAAGGCTGAGGAGTAAGGAGTAAAATTTGCTCCTTTGCTAAATTTGGAGCAATGGACACAATCTTTGGAGCTGCCTGTAAGGAGCTGTGAGGAGAGCAAGTTTCATTTGTAGTGAGAGGAAGAACAATATTGAGGTACCTGCAGAAATAAAAGCTTGGCTAAATGGCTGGATAGGAAAAGCCAAGTAACAGTGATGTTACTCCTAAATAATCTGTAAGATTTGGACACAGTCTGAATATGAGAATCTAAGAAGAGTGGGAGGCCCAAATAATGGGTATTGGAACAGAGTGAGACTGACTCAGAAAAGAACTTTTTTAAGAATTAGTTTTCTATGGAAGTAATATATGATCCTCTTGCTGAATATTAGATTTTTATTTGAAGGTATGTTTTATATTGCAGGATGTACTGCAAGAGAGGATTATTACAGGAGGCACCAATCTCATGCAATGCAGTTGGGTTAGTGAGATCACTTGAGTTATAACTTCCAGTCCCACATGCCCTAAACAAAGACTCTGCAATTGCAAGAGCATAATCACCCCTGGGACCCATTCCTGCAGAAGCAACACGTGACAAAAAATTCACACAGGGATATAAAATGATGGTTGAAAATAGAAATCTGCTGGCCTGGAATTCTCTCAGCTTGGATGAGGTGGATTTTATGCTGAGGAAGATGAATAATAGCAATAAGATGTTTTTAGCTGTTGTTACCTTGACTAAACATCCCCAGATGTCAGTGGCAGTTTCTCCTGAATAAGGTGGGGTTGGATTTGGTAATGCTTGACTTCCATGCGACGTTTTACAACAGTTAGGAAAAGGGGTTTTTGTTTCAGAATCTGTGATTTGGAGACAGAATTCAAGGTTTAAAATGACAGTGCTGCTGTAAGTGGTAGCATCTCTCAGATACTGCAGAGACTGCATTTCACACAGTGCACAGAACATGATAAAATGCTACCCTCGGATCCTGTGTAAGCCTCAAACGGGCAAATGCTTTTTTCCTGTGAAATATACCACCCACATTGGTTTCCTTACCTGGCTTCCATGGCCTGGATGTCATTCTGCAGTTATCAACACAGACAATTACACTTGAGATCTGATATTTAGCCAACAGCTCATTCCCTTGTCACACTGTAATAGTTAAAATATGTCCACTGTTATTATTTTCGTTATCCCTCCTTTATGAAGAGATGCCAAGAACGTATCACCTTCTATTGCTCTCACTGAAGTTTATTGCTATAGGAAAACCACTAATTTATGAAACAATCTTCTGTGTGGCAGATACAGTTGACCATATACAACCATTCACACAACAGAGACACTATAAATTAACCTGGAATGTTCTACCTGTGACCTTGCCATAATATCATACTCTGGTTTATATTTCTAGAAAATCACAGAATCCGATTTGCCTCTTAGAAAGGATTCTGACTTTTCAGCCTTGCTCAAGTTGCTTTGTGTCAGACAAATTCCTTAAGACCCACTTCAGCAAAGCATTTAAGAATGCACTCAAATAAAATAACATTTAGTAGTGAGAACTGCAAAGCAAATATCAAAGCAAGATAGTGCTGGATTTTCAAGATCCTTTTTCTTCTTTTGTTTGGTATTTAGTACCTCACTGTATTGAGATACTTAAAAATACACAGAATATTATATTGTCTGAAGAATTGAAAAAGAAATTGGTAAAGAAGGATAGGAAGATGCTCTCTGTGTGGCAAAAGATACATAGTGAACCTGTAGAAAAAGTCTACATTAGCAGCAAGTTTATGCTAAGTAGGGATGTTTGAATGACCATATGAAAGAATTAAAGGTACATTTATTGCATTCGGTGGATGCAACCAGCTGTGTAATAAGCATATTGTTAAACAGACCAGTATTTTTATTTAAATAAGTACAATGCTAAATTTGGGGACTGTTAGGCCTCACCAAGTGTCTCATTGCTCTCAGAGAATCTCTCCCAGTTCCACTTGGTACAAAGATATAAACCTAGAGGAAATTCTTTAGCAGAAATAGCTGCCTTCTGCAGCTCTAGCTGAACTGGAATTAACAGAGAGCCTTTAAGATGGGAAGATGTAAGTATCACATAAGACAGGTCACTGTTCACTGTAGCTGCACTTTCCTTAAGTGGTTCTTTAACAAGTGAAGAAAGCTGTGCACTCCTGGGAATAGGGGAATTTATGACATTCCAGTATCTCTTTGCCCTGGCCCATGTTCTGTATGCCACGTGCTATAGCATCTCATACATAGCTATATTATATATGTGTATATATAATAATTGACTCAATCACACATAGGAACAAGTGTCCTGGCTAGCAGAGTTGTGGGACAGTGTAAAGTCGTGCTCTGTGCTGAATTAATCACAATGACAGCTTCTCATTTGCACAAAATGTCAAGGATCTTTGCCTGTGTTATAGCAAAACACTGTGTGGATAAGGGCTGTGAATGCCTGGTGCCCTGGATAGCCAAATTATTGCCTGATTTTTTTGTTTAAGTCTTTACTGGAGACCATGCTAATCAGTATTTCTTTCTCATTTACTTTTACAGTTAGGTATTCATGGATATGCTTTTGCAATTACAAACAATGGATATATTTTGACTCACCCAGAACTTAGGCCTTTGGTAAGAATGCTATTTATTGATCTGTTTTATTTAGCTGTGTGTGTTGCATTTGTTTTTTGTTTTTTTTTCTTTAGCGTGAATAGCCTTCATTAAAAATTAAATACAATACTTTATATTGGTAAATTTACCTCTGGAAACAACACTTAGCATGAAAAAAGCCCTAGGAAAATAAATATACGAGTTGCTTCTGCAAAAGATGCAGACCTCCATTACTGCAAAATAGCAAAGCCAAAAATTGCTGTAATTATGTTCATTTTACATTGAAATGGAATGTTGGAATGCTCTAGTGCTGTGTAATAACCCCTATTTGTCATGCTAAAGTGTTAAAGTTAATTTAATATATGTGCAGAAATTTCAGTAAAGCATATTTTTAAGCAAAATAGGAGCACTAGGGATTTTCTGTACTAAAAGAGAAATGGCAGCAAATTTTACCTTTAGTTTCCTTTATCATCTTGTTTGCACTAATCACAGCAAGAAAAATAAAGTTACTGTTTTGCAAATGTTTATCAAGTTAACACCCCAGAGGGTTGGTACATTCCTGGTTGCATAATTGTTTAGGAACAGCACTGCCAAGTGTTTCATCACCACTGGCTCCTAGCAAAGCACTGGCATTAAAAAGCACAGGTTCCACTGCTGTGTCCACATGGTTGCCACATGTGTTTCTCAAGCAGGAACTCCAAGCAACGTCCAATTTCAACAATATTTCGGTAGAAAACAGAAATACTACCTGGGTGGATAATTTAATTTGAAAATAAAATTATTGACAAGCATGATTTATTAAGTCGTTAGCATATCTGAAGTCTTCACCAAGCAAAAGGATTTGTCTTTCTAATATTTGGGCTAGGAATTACACACTAAATTAACATTTATATTTGGTCTTTAATTGGAGTAGAGCTTATGAAAAGTGTAACAAGGAGGCTTCAATGGATAAATCTGACATCCCAGGTTTGCAAGCCATGGGAATGTATTTGAAAGTTCTCTCTCTACATCACAAGTTTGTTAACTTGTCTTTGCTGTAGTGTCCCTTTCTCTTCGGGCAAATTACTTATTTCAAAATGATTAGTATTTGTTCACTAGATAATAGATATTTTATAAAACAAAAGGTAGTGAGGTCCAGGAACTGTGGATAGCTCTAAGGCTGACAGAGTGTCTTACCCTCTTCCTAATTTCTGATGTTTTGCTTTAGTGAGGCAAAAGGTGGTTTGCTGTTACTATCCCTCACCAAATGTACATCTTGAAGGCACTTACTTCATTGCCTTATACAATGGAATCTCTTTTTAAAATCAAAATGTTGGTCAGTAGCCCATAAGCTGTCAGCCAGGGGAATTCATTGTGATATATTCATGGTCTGTGCATTGCAGGTTTTTGGAAGAGTCATTTTTACCTCTGGGTTCTGTCAGTGCTGGGTAATGAGAGTCTCTTGTTGACTTCAGTGGAGTTTTTGAGAGTGAAGTGATTGCTGGCCTGGGCCCTTGGTTTAATATTGCAGGCCAAGTCCTGATACCATTGTAAGGTTCTGTGAAATTTGTGACAATAACTATGTGAAAATAGGCCTGTAGATCTGCAATTAGATAATTCACTAAAGATACTCTCTAGAATTATTTTTGTCTTAGATTTACGTTGAAATCTCATTGATCCACTCTGGTTTATGCTGTTATTATATTTTCTGGCAGTGATGTAGAACTAGAATATTACTGAATTCCCGAGTTTCTAACCCTACATCTATTAGTTCTGGAGCTGATGTGCCGCTTTTTAAGGAACTGTCTTCAGACAGAGCAGAGCGGAGAGGCAGGATAGCAAACAGCACAGAATGCTTCCTGTTGCACCAGATTTGTATCTAACACTGAGCAGCGTGTGTAATCATTGAGCTGGATGCGTTTCTGTGCTGATTATTCTGTTGGGTTTATAGTGAAAAATGCTTTTTGGGCGATTCTCCTTGTTCTTCTGCTTGTTTTTTTGAACAATCTTGGTTTTCGGTGGGGCTGGCAGGGAGGGGAGAGAAAGGATCCCTGGACCCCGGAGCATCCCGCGACCCCGGCGCTGCCCGGGGAAGGAAGAACCCTGCGGGGCCGCTCGCCCCGGGCCCGTGTGTGCCCGTGTGTGCCCGTGTGTGCCCGTGTGTGCCCGTGTGTGCCCGCTCGCCCCGGGCCCGTGTGTGTCCGTGTGTGCCCGTGTGTGCCCGTGTGTGCCCGCTCCCGTGTGTGCCCGGGCCCGTGTGTGTCCGTGTGTGCCCGGGGCTGCAGTTCCGGGCCATGGCCGGCAGGTGGCGCCGCAGCCCCGCCCGGGACCGGGGCCGATCCCGGCGGGAACCCCGGGAATGTTCTGGGATCGCCTGCCGGGCTGCAGAGACTAATGCTGCCGCTCGAATGGACCCTCTTTTCCGCTATTTTTTCCTTTTTTTTTTCCCTCTATTTTTTTTTTAATTTATTATTATTATTATTTTTATTTTTTTTAAATTTTTTAATTTTTTAAAACATTTTTGTCGCATATCTGAAAAGCACCCATTGCACATTTTCCTATATTACACCCTTTTAAAATCTCCTTTCCTACCAAGAGTACCCCAGTGGGAACTCCACAGAGTACAGCTGATGGGAAAAAAACCGGTTTTTTAAATACTGCTTTAATACATCAGAATGCTCCTATATATATGCTGAGTTTGACTAAAAGTCTGTATTTTTACGGAGTGGTATTTTATTTTCCATGAGAGAATATTTTCAGTTGTGTGATGTAATTTGGAATTTTATATTCTGTTGAAAACCACAACCTACTGCTAGTAAAAAATAGTATTAAATTGTCTGGGAGTTCAAAAGTGGATTTTCAGATTTTTCTTAACTTGCTGCCTGAAGTTTCTTACCTGTATTGAGATGTGCACGTGAGCACACAGTCTTTGTCATTTGTGATCATGGCAGATTTAATCTGCTTTTCGGGAGCCTCTTAACACTTGGGGTGTGTGATTTTAAATGAAAATACATCATGTTGATGATGTTACAGTTTGCCAAAGAACGAGAAACAAGGAATAAATACTTTTTCAATATTCTTAAAAACAACCACTACATTAATTGTGGCTGATTGCTCATTACTGTCTCTGTCATTCTGCATTCTGTTAAAGGTTGGTGCCAGAGGAAAACTGCATTTTTAGGGCAGTGTAGTGGGATTGCAGAGAAATTAAGGAGATGAGTGTCAGCCACAGTCACAGATCACCACCATAGTGAACCTATCTGGTGTCAGGGCTTCGTGCTGTTGCCTCTCAGCCCTAATATTTGTGTGGTTTTCAATAAATAATAGCAAGGTTGTTACCAGTTTTTATGAACTCTGTGGCTTTTTTGATTCATAGTTTGCAATGGTTTGTATTTTTGTTCAGGGAGTGGAACAGGGTTTGGTTTTTTTTTCAGTAATTACTAGGGTAGAATACTCAGAGTTTCTGAACAAAGAGCCTGAGTTTCTTAACTAAATAAAATATGCATTTAAAGACAAATCATATGGTCTTGAATAAAATTGCATCTTTTATTTATATTCTACCATTTTAAAAAATTAAAAATTTGTTCTGATTTATGAAAAATGAAAAATTTATGTTCTGATCCATCTAATAACATCCTTGATTAATAAAGATTTTGTAATATTTCTGGGTCTAAATCAAAATCCTCTGTCTCTGAGAAGATTGAGACAAATCTCAAAACTCTCAAAATAAGCTCTAGAAGGTTTGTAATGGGGTTTGTGAATGCCCTTACCACTGTAAATGAATTCAATTGATACTTTCTATACAAGGATGCACGTCTTTAACTTGATCAGTCTTGATTGGGAAAGTTATACCTAGAAATCAAAGCCTTTGTACAATATTGCAATGCCCTCGCCAAAACATATTAGTGTTCAGGTGTCTGAGTAAGTTCCCATTTCATCCTGAGAATGTGAACTGTCACCATGTGTTGCATTAAGCTAAAGGACCTGGAGTGTTTGAAGATTCTAGATCAGTATTAAATCTTTTGTAGCTGTAAATTTTGAGAAAATTTGTTTCTCCTAATACAGAAAAACAGAGAAATCTGAGTGTCAGGGGAAACATTAATGCCCCACTTAAGCCGTGTTAGCCTTTCAGAAGCAGCAAATCTCATTTCTCTCTGGGGAGTCCTGCCTGGAACGTAAGATAACCTACACTTACCCTTGCTTTATTCATTGACTCCATAAAACTCTACAGCTGTAGCTGACAGCAGAATATTTAAATGATTTGAGCAGTGTAAATGCCTCACGTTCATTTAAATAACTGAAGAATTCTATCACTTGAATGCCAATGATTATTCCTACTGGAGTTTACATTTCAAAAAAGACAGCCCATCTGAAACCCTGTGAGAGCATTAAATTGCTATCTAATTAGAAGTGCAAAATTACATATATTTAAAAGATAATTAAAGGTTTGAAGGCTGTTGAATAACTGGTTGTACATATAAATGAATCACTGAAAATTTGTTAGCAATATGCGAAGCTTTCTTTTATTCTTTGCTTTCAGCTTTGAAGTTAGGTATAACTGAGCTCATGGGTTTAAGTCTGGTAGTATTAAGATAAAGGCAGATGTTTTTAATTATTTCTACTCGAACCCCAAATAATTATAAGCAGCTGCCAGTTTTACATAATCCCAAATGATAAATCCCGAGAATGCAAATAAAATCCCAAATAGAGGGGTTGTTTTCTTCGGTGGAGTAAATCACATCCATGTTTCTGTGATAAGTGACTGCAATCCACCTGAGAGCCTGAGCTCAGCTGATGAACTCCTTGGCCAGGCTCAAGGTGTGGGACTTAAAGCTGGTATTTTGTATTGACTTTTATTTTACTTCACTCTGTATATTTCCATATTGCTTTATCATTTTAAACATTATTGCACTGTTTGAAAAGCAAACACACATGTTAGGAGAGTGAGTAGACAAAGTTAGACATGTATTAACATGTGGTATAAGAACTTTTCTTCTCTTGTTTTGCTAGAGGGTTCTCCTGTGTATATGGCACATCTAATA